AAAACTGTTTGGTTTAAACTGGCTGCACCTTGCGGGTCCTTTTTGCGGTGGTAAACGATCTCGGATGAAAACAAGCCCAAAAGCAATCTTGATCGTTTTGACGAGATGAACAACTTTCATTTTGAAGGTTTTTTGATCAGAGATCATCTTGAGGGTCAGATCCGTCTCGCAACACAGGCTATCTCCTCGCGCTACCCGTCAGACATGTGTCTGGTGGGGCACGCCACATCTCGCCTCGTGACAGGGCTGCACTTCGATTGCTCTAATTTTTGCATACGAACTCGGATTTGAATGATTTTTATATCAAAATCAATCGTTTCGACGAGACGAAGACAACCTGTGTAGATTATTTTTTTATTTGAGGTCGTCTTGGGGTCTTAATCGGCTAAACTGTACTTTGAATATAAGATCTTGGTACTTTGAGCATAGTTTCGGCCTTCGAGATGAAATCGGACGGCGATGACCCAAATTTCAAAGATGTTCATATCAATAATACGGAACTCTTTCATGTAGACCACTTCTCCATTTGAGTCATCTAGATAATCATTTGAGCCCATCTTCAGCTTCTGGTTGGATTGACTATCACAACCTCCACCCCGGCAGGCCTTCCACCCGGGTAAGCTTTCCGCACCGACAAGGTTTCACCCCGGCAAGGTTTTTACACCGGCAAGGGTTCTTCCTAGCCCGGCAAGGTTTCTACCCCGGCAAGAGTTCCTCCTCGGCAAGGTTTCTACCCCGGCAAGAGTTCCTCTTCGGCAGGGTTTCTCCCTCGGCAAGATTTCACACCGGCAAGCTTCTTCGCTGGCAAGCTTTCCACGCCGGCAAGCTTCTCCGCCAGCAAGCTTTCCACGCCGGTAAGCCCTCACATCGGCAAGGTTTTACCCCGGCAAGGTTTCATTCAGCCGGCAAAGGCCGAATACTTTCTCACTCAGGGCCGGCCAGCGAAGTGTTGCCTCTAACTTTTGCATACGAACCCTGATTCATGACCATGCCAAAATCTGGTGTCAACAGCTGCCTTGGCTGTGTATAGGAGATTTCAACGAAGTTCTATGTCCAAGCGAGCATGTTGGGATTGGACAACATAGTAATGCACAGATCCAGGCTTTTCGTGAAACCACAGATGTTTGCATGTTGATGGATATTGGATACAAGGGGAGATCTTGGACGTTTGAGAAGAAGGTGTCTGGAGGGACTTACACAAGGTGCAGATTAGACAGGGCATTGGTTAACCCCCAGTGGTTGGCTCGTTTCCCTTCAGCAGGTTTGGACCACCATGTGGCTTCTACTTCGGACCATGGTCCCATTCTTCTAGACCTTGGCCGAGCAAGAGATGCAATACCACCACGGAGTTTTCAATATGAGGCCATGTGGGAAAAACATGAAGGTTTTGGTGGTGCAGTGAGCGAGGAATGGTCGGCATTGGGGCCTTGTGTAAGTGTTCGGGAGCTGCATGATAAGTTGGAGGCTGTTTCCAAGGGGATTACCGGATGGAGCAATAAGTCTTTTGGAAGTGTGAGACGGGAGATCAAAGATCTAAAGAAGAAACTCGAGGAACTACGGGTGGATCCGCTGCGCACGACACCATCGCATGTGGAGATCAAGATAAATGAAAGATTGGTGGAGCTATATCATCGCGAAGAGATCATGTGGAGGCAGCGGGCCAGGATTGAATGGCTTTCCTCGGGCGACAAGAATACAAATTTTTTCCATCTTCGGGCTAGCCTACGAAGGAAGAAGAATATGATTAGGGCTCTTGAGAATGCGCTGGGTGTGTTGGAAAACGACCCAGTTGAGTTGAGGACGATGGTGAATAGTTTTTACCAGGACCTCTATATGTTCGAAGGGGTGCAAGGAGTTGAGGAGGTGATGGAACATGTCCCATGTAAGGTAACAACAGCGATGAACGATGAGCTTTGTGCTCCATATACAAAAGAAGAGGTTAAACAGGCACTCTTTCAGATGTTCCCAACTAAGGCTCCTGGCCCTGATGGTTTCCCTGCGCAGTTCTATCAGAAACATTGGGACACTTGCGGTGATGATGTGACTAATCTTGTTCTAAGGACAGTGAGAGGGGAGGAAAGCCCCGAGCGCATTAATGAGACAGTCTTGGTACTTATCCCGAAGGTGAATAACCCCACTCTCCTTTCACAGTTTAGACCGATAAGTTTATGCAACGTTTTGTATAAAATAGCATCAAAGGTGGTGGCCAACAGATTGAAGCAAGTTTTACCAGACATCATATCTCAAGAACAGTCAGCGTTTGTGCCTGGGAGATTGATAACGGATAATATCATATGTGCTTATGAGTATTTACACTTCATGAAGCGTAAGAAGTCTAAAATAACAGCTTTTGTGCTCTAAAGCTGGATATGATGAAGGCTTATGATAGGCTGGAGTGGGACTACTTGAGAGCCATCTTGGGCAAGTTGGGATTTGCACAGGTTTGGATTAACACAGTTATGTCTATGATCTCCAGTGTCTCTTTTTCAGTTCTTTTTAACGGCGAGAAGCTTGAGAAATTCAAACCATCCAGAGGGCTATGACAGGGAGACCCCATCTCCCCTTACCTTTTCTTGATAGCAACAGAGGGCCTTTCGTGCCTCCTGAAATCTAGTTCTCAGTCGTCATTGTTGGCAGGTATTAAGGTGGCACCCATGGCACCCGCCGTTAACCATCTTTTATTTGCAGATGACAGTCTGTTGCTTTTCAAGGCAAGTGTGGAGGGGGCAGAGAGGATATCAAACTTGTTGGATACTTATTGTCAGGCTTCGGCTCAGAAGGTAAACAATGCAAAGTCATCTATATTCTTCAGGAAGGGCTGCTCTCAAACAATCAGAGATGGGGTGAAGAATAAAATCCAGGTGCATAATGTGTCTCGCAGTGAACGTTACTTGGGCATGCCAACGGAAGTGGGACACTCAAAAAATGGTACCTTCAAGTATTTGAGGGACAGAGTGTGGGAGAAGGTGAAAGGATGGATGGGAAAATTATTGTCTGCAGCAGGCAATGAAGTTCTGTTAAAATCAGTAGCCCAGGAGATCCCAGTATACTCTATGTCTTGCTTTCGGCTCCCGAGAGGGCTGTGCGAGAGTGTCACATCAATAATCCGTCAGTTCTGGTGGGGTTGCAAGGAAAGCAGAAGGAAACCAGCATGGGTATCGTGGGATACAATGACAATGCCAAAATATATGGGGGCATGGGGTTTAGAGATATGGAAATTTTTAACTTGTCACCTTTGGCAAGGCAAGTATGGAGGGTAATGGATGATCCGGAGTTGTTGAGCGCTAGAATACTGAAGGCTATATATTTTCCGGATCGATCTCTGTTGGAGGCAAAACTGGGTCCTGTCCATCACAAATTTGGAGAGGCATTCTTGATGGGAGAGATGTAGTAGCGCAAGGCATCATTCGACGGATAGGAGATGGAGAAAATACGGACATCTGGGCTCATAACTGGATACCAAGGGAGAGTTACAAAAGGCCAATTACTTCACTGGTTCCGGACCCCCCTCGACGTGTGGCAGAACTAATAGAAACATCGATGGCGGTGTGGAATGAACAGCTTGTGCGTACGGTGTTCACACCTTTTGATGCAGAGCCAATTCTTCAGATCCGGTTATGCACTAGACGGGTGTCAGACTTTTGGGCTTGGAGCGAGGAACCAAGAGGTCATTTCTCGGTAAGCTCGGCTTACCGTATGCTAGATCGAACTAAACGAAACAGAGAGGCTTGGCTCGAAGGCAGGGAGGCACATCAAATATAGAAGCAGAAGGAGCTGAATTGAAGTCTTTGTGGAAGGTGCAAGTTCCCTCGAAATTCAGGGTTTTTCTGTGGCGTTTGGCAAGAAATTATGTCCCGTCGGCTGCTGTATTACATAGGCAAAATATGGCTACATCATCATCTTGCAAATTATGTGGAGTACATGATTCATGGACGCACGCGTTATTGGGCTGCCCTGTGTCTCAGAGCACCTAGGCTCTATCAACTGACGCCATTTTGGATCAGCTAAGTGTCAATCAACATGATAGTGCCAAGAAGTGGATCTTTGCCATGGAAAAAGCTCTTTCGTCAATGGAGTTCGTCAGATGTGCGAGAACGCTATGGGCGATATGGGGTGCAAGGCGGAAGGCGCTATATGAAGATATATTCAAAAGCCCGTATGCAATCCATGGTTTTGTCAACACATACCTGGGGGAGATCTAGGACTCGTCACCGAAGGAGGAGAATCGTGGGATCGCGGCCACCAGAGGCACGAGATGGCTTGCTCCACCGGAGCTCTATATGAAAATTAATGTGGATGCTGCAGTGGGCAGAGGAGGATGCCACGGAGCAGTTGCGGCAATTTGTAGAAGCAACGATGGCTCTTTTTCAGGCGCATCAACGATAGTATTCACAAACCAAGGCGATCCGGCTACTCTCGAAGCAATGGCGATCAGAGAAGGTCTGGCGTTAGCCCAAGAGTTGAATGTGCACCGAATATATCTAGCGTCGGATTGCCAGGGCATGGTGACAGAGATCAAATATGGGAGTGGATCGGCTTATGGTGCTATCAAAGAGGAAATTAAATTATCTATCACTTCTTTTATTTCATGTAACGTAATTCATGGGTTTAGGAGCTTCAACAAGGAGGCTCATAATTTAGCGAAGCATGCATTAAGATTAGGGCCTGGACGTCATGTATGGCCAGCGCGCGGAGGGTCGCCTCGTCTTTATTGGCCTCAGGGCTGCTGCAGCGGCGGAGATCTCGTCCTCGCCCCCCTCAACGCTGTGACCGTGTCGATCAGCTCGCCGGCAGCCAGATCTCCTTTAGTACATCGCATTTACCTCCCACAGCAGCTGCAGCTCGACGGTGAGCATCCTGATGACCATGGACCATTTTTACCTCCTACAGCAGCTGCAGCTCGTCCTTCTTCCTCTCCTTTCCTTCCTTTTAAGTTTTAACCCCAGGTTCTGTAGGTGGTGAACGGCGGCGGCGAGGGATTCTTCAGGCCAGGTGGAACTATGAGCCGCCGCTTTGTCCCCGTCGACAGACGCATCTTGGAGCGGAACATCAAGGCTCGGTACCACGCTGGAGACATTGGCACCGAGGATGCACTCAACCTGTTCGACGAATTGATCCAGGTTGCTGGGCCTTCCTCAGTCCTCGCCATCAACTGCCTCCTCACCGTTGTCGGCCGTGATTGCCCCGCGCTCGGCGTCTCCCTCTTCAACCGTGTTGCAAGAGCCAAGGTGCCTCCCCACAATATCACCTATGGCATTCTAGTCGACTGCTGCTGCCGTGCTGGCCGCTTGGACCTTGGACATGCTGGCATGGGGCACGTCATTAAGTTGGGATTTGCAGCAGAAGCCATCGTCAATTTCAGCCACCTACTCAAGGCCATATGTGCGGAGAAGAAGACCAGCTATGCAATGGACATTGTACTCCGGATAATGCCTGAATTTAACTGCATCCCGAACATTTTCTCATACAGCATTCTTTTGAAGGGTCTTTGCAACGAGAAGAGGAGCCAAGAGGCTCTCGAGCTGATTCACATGATGATTGACCATGGAGGTAGCTGCCAACCTAATGTGGTGTCCTATAGCACCGTACTTGATGGCTTGTTGAAAGAGGGTGAGTGAGGTGGGCAAGGCCTACAGCCTATTTTGTGTCATGCTACAGAGGGGAATTTCGCCGAATGTTGTGACCTGCAATTCAATCATCTCTGGCATGTGCAAAGTTCATGCGATGGACAAGGCAGAGGAGGTTCTTCAACAGATGACTGATAGAGGTATTCTGCCTGATGTTGCCACATATACCAGTCTCATACATGGATATTATTCATTAGGACAGTGCAAAGAGGTGGATCGGATTTTCAAGGAGATGACTAGAAATGGTGTCCAACCAAATGTTGTAACTTATAGTATACAGATGGATTATCTTTGCAAGAGCGGAAGGTGTGCAGAAGCTAGGAAGATTTTTGATTCCATGGTAAGTCTGGGCCAAAAACCGACCGTTACTACCTACAGCATTTGCTCCATGGGTATGCTATGGAACAATCTTTTCATGAGATGCATTGTCTCATTGATTTGATGGTGGGAAATGGTATTGCGCCAAATCATTTTGTCTACAACATACTCATATCTGCATATGCTCAAGAAGAAACGGTTGGTGAGGTAATGCATATATTTACAAAAATGCAGCAGGAAGGATTGAACCCTGATGTTGCGAACTATGGAGCGGTAATAAACTTGCTTTCTAGTATTGGCCGAATGGATGATGCTATGTCCCAATACAATCAAATGATAACTGAAGGATTACTCCCTGGTATCATAGTTTTCACCCCCCTTATTAGTGGTTTCTGTTCTTGTGGCAAATGGGAGAAGGTTGATGAACTATTTTCTGAGATGTTGGATCGCGGCATCTGTCCCGACACAGTGTTCTTCAACACTGTTATGGATCACCTTTGCAAAAATGGAAGGGTTATAGAAGCCCAGGATCTCTTCGACCTGATGGTAAACATGGGTGTGAAGCCTTTTGTCCGTGATTACAACACACTGATACATGGATACTGTTTAGTTGGTAAGATGGATGAAGGGAGGAAGTTACTTGACAATATGTGCTCAATTGGCTTGAAACCGGATGATTTCACCTATAGCATACTGATTGATGGTTACTCTATGAAGGGAAGGATAGGTGATGCATTGATTGTTGTCAGGGAAATGTTGGACGGGAAGGTTAAACCTTCTATTATCACTTTTAATATTATGATTGGTGCGTTGCTTAAAGGTGGCAGAAAGGAAGAAGCCAAAGATTTGTTTGATGGTATCTGGGCCAAAGGATTAGTGCCTGACGTTGTTACATATAGATTAATGATACAAAAGCTTATAGAAGAAGGTTCTCTACAAGAGTCTGATGATCTATTCCTTTCTATGGAGAAGAATGGATGTGTTGCCGACTCCCGTATGCTAAATGCTATAGTTAGAAGCTTACTTCAGAAAGGGGACGTGCCGAGGGCTGGGACTTATCTGTCTAAAATTGATGAGAGGAGGTTCACCTTTGAAGCTTCCACTGCTAGCTTATTGACTGCACTTGCGTCAGGGGGGAAAGGCCAGGAATATAAGGAGTTACTCCCTGAAGAATACCACTCTTTTCTGGAACAGGGCACTGGTTGAAACCATTTCTAGAGATTTTGCCTACATATTCTGGACTGCTAATCGAGGCCTGAACTTTTCTTTGTGGGTTACATCTCCCAACCTTTTCTTTTCGTAGTACGTCTAAAATGAAGGTCACTTCTCTTACTAGTAATTCTGGGAGGAACTTGTACCAGTAATAAATGTCTGACTGCACTATTCTGATGAACGACTATCTGTGATTATATTTCAATGGGGCTGTGCATTTGGCCTCAACTAAGCTGCAAATTATATTAGTTTTCTCAGTCTTGATTTGACCTAATAAATTAATCTCATCACCTTTTTCCTTGTCTAAAATGTAGGTCACTTTTCTTACTAGTAATTCTGGGAGGAACTTGTACTAGTAGTGAGATGCTCGGAGGTTTCTTACCTTTACCATTCTGAAATGTGGTCATTTCTCTTACTAGTAATTGTTGGAGAAACTTGGGCTAGTAGTAAACTTCTGACTGGCACCATTTTGATGAACGACTGTGTGTTTCATCTATATGGCTGAGTACTACTTCTTCAATAGAGTTGAACATTTGGCCTGAACTAAGCTGCAATTTCTATTAGTTTTGTCAGTATTGGATTTGACCTGATATATTATCCTTGAAAGTTTTCCTTTGTGCGCTGTGCTGCTGGACGTATACTAGATATTCACCATTTCATAATGCTGGGAAAACCGTGGGACCAAACCTTTGACAACTATTGTCAATATCCAGCAAGCTGTTCATGATATGATGACCATGCTCTGCCTGTACATCCATTGAAGTTGTTAGCAGTAAGTTAGTTTCTATATTGCATATCTCCTTTGCATCAAATGGAAACATGCAGTTTCTATTGTATTGAAAAGGCATGAACAAAGCTACGTTCTGTGCTAATGTACATGCCTAAGTGGGCAGGTACAGAACAAGAAACAGGGCAAAGGAAAGAGGGGCCAGCAGGATGTACACTACTTGCTGCTATCTCAAGGTGCAGACATGAAACAGAGCAAAGAAAGGGAACAAGAAACAGAGTAAAGAAAGGGAAATATGTTGTGCGCTAATGTACTGGGCAGACATGTTATCAGGTACAGCCCTTATCCAAGGATGTTCTTCTTCAAGGTGCAGACATGATGAATTCTCAGGATAAAAGTGCTTTAGGCTCTTACCACCCTTTGTCCAGTACGTGTGGTTCTGTTTTGGCTTGCTGTTATAGTTGTAAGAAGGGGACGTTCTTACAACACGTTTGCAGCTTTCATCGAAATTCTTAGCGCGTTTGGTGATAATGTTACCGTGCCACTAGGTTTCCGTGCTAAGCCAGTAGCTGTTTGACAAAAATGGTGTGGGGTGGGTTTCCTGCTGATTGTAGGCTAAGCTGTCAAAACTATTTATAACTGATAAGAGCGCATGGTCTGTTTAGTTTGAGAAACAGTTTATAACAGAGATTCCTTGGTTTACTTTCTAGCTTGCCAACAACGACCAAAAAGGAGGACAAAAAAAGAAAAAAGAAAAACGCTGTCCCTCTGCAGTATGAAGCTATTCCTAACAAAGGTCTTCATGCTTGACCCTCTGCAGTACAAAGGTTGACAACGGAGCCCATCCAATAGCTTTCATGCACTTCTTTGTATCATCGCTAACATCGATATTCAACTTCCTCAGATTTTGTAGCTGGCCAAAATATAGAAGAAATTAAATTGGCTGCTTAAAATGCTCTGACCTGTTTCAACATCTCTAGAGCTTGCATCTCCCCAATTCCTCCTTCTGGAAATTTGAACTCATCTAGAGAAGGGATTTCCCACAACAATCCAGATACTTGAAGTGATCGGGAATGAGACAATAGTAGGCGAATCTCTAGAAAAGAATCGCTCTCCTTGGTAGCCTGTATCATGAACTTGTCTGTCTCCATAGGTTGGATCAAACTTCTATTCACGAGCTCAGTAAAAACACCTCTATCCTAACTCATGTACTGCGTATCTTCCTTCTCCATGAAAGTATCCTTCAGGAATCGAACTTCTTATTGGGTCTTTCATCTTAATAGTAGATCATTTTCTGAACATATTGAGGTATAAGAGATGTGTTTTTAGATGAGGATGAAAACCACATTAACAAAGTGACAAAATCATCATCATTTTTTCTGCGACGTCACTTGTTTCAAGTGCACAACCAACTGAATCTGCTATGTGATTTATGAGTGATATTAGTGTGGCTTTACTGTGGACAAAAAACACTGAAATACAATTAAAGATACATAGTTCTTCTTGACAAACTAGCGTCAATAAGAAAAGGAGGGACAGATGATTAAATGGCATAACCCATGAGAGGGCCACCATATTAATGCCTCCAATTTTTTAGATGATGGTATTTTCAACATTTGCTGGGTCTCTAATTAAGCAACACTATATAGGAATCGAGAGTACCAAAAAAGGCATGGCCAACATTTTCCACCGTGCATTTACTTGGCGTCAAAATATATAATGGCTTAATTTTATTGAGGGTGTACGACAATCAACAACACTGATACATGAGACAATATTAGGTGAAAACCACATCTTCAGTGAAAGGTTGGAAACTTTACCACAGGCTGTTGGATCTTGTATGTATGGACTAGATCCATCCATAATTGCTACATGCAGTTTTGCAGAAAAACGCCCGCCCCAGCAATGTTGTTCTGCACACGACCCCTGACGCATACAAGTATTACAGCTAGCTACCCCGTCATGTGTGGGGCTTCGGCACATGTCCCCACCTATTTGTGTTGATTGCGTGAAATTGAAAGAAGACAAAAATTGAACGATGGGTACTACCCAGTTCCCTTGTAAATTTAAGTAGAACAAACAATAAAATACATTAGCTAAAATCATTGCCCAGATAAATGACAAAACCACAACCAAAACCATTGCCCAGTTGAAGAACTCATGCACCTCACATAGCACATTTCCAGCAATTGAAACAATTTCCTAGAATATATTTAAGTAAAGCAAAACTCATGCATCTGATTCAGTCACTTAAATAATGCCCACACTCCAATACACGGTTACAAAATAGATGCATCATTAACAGTGATGGCAAATCTACACCTTTATACATCAGTCATTGAACACATAGCTCTAGTACACTAGCTAACAACTTGCAGATGCCCGGCCCCAACAGATAATACCTCCAGTACACTAGCTAACAACTTGAAGAAGTTCGGCGCCAATAGCTAATAGCTCCATTACACTAGACAAGAACATAATAATGTAATACTATTAGTCCTAAAAACTTGCAGAGGTCGGTAGGGCCACCAAGCAATCTGAAACAAAAAAATTAATTGGTCAAGCAGTAGGAAAAATTGCAAGAATTTATACCTAATTTTTTAAATCAATTTTTAATCCTAATCTATGAACATAGATACATCAGGGCATGTGTATTTATTAGGAAGCAAAATTTTAGAAATATTCTCAAACTAAGTCCAGAGGAATGTACCGCCATCATGTTTGCTGCAGTTCC